GAGAGAGAGAGAGAGAGAGAGAGAGAGAGAGAGAGAGAGAGAGAGAGAGAGAGAGTAATTTCAGCTTAGCATCTATCAGTCTGTTGGATGCTGAGCACATATTTAGCATTACAGAATACGAGACAGAATGCCACAGCCACTAAGCATGGCTTCTGTAGTGAGGTGGTGCTTTCTCTCCTTTGCCTAATTGTTATTGGAGTCTCTGGTGACTTACACTTGCCGCCTACATCATACAGCTCGTTTGTGTAGCCAGTGCTGTGCATTCATGCTGTGCTGAGTATTACACCCCCTGCCACTGTGAGGACTGAACGGAGTTGGGAATTGGATAGTATAATTACAAGACATTAAAGCACCTGTAGATCCCAACAAAGCCACTAGGAAAGATGAGGACAAAAGCAATCCACGAGTGAGCTTGAATTCTGATTGCATCAGCTGTGAGATCTGACAGCTAGGCCCTAGGTCAGTATTTAATTCACAATGGTGCATTGGGAGTGAACTTTCCCCTCATGGCCAGTGGGGTGCGCTGCAGGGACAGCACACTTCCAGAACTGGCTTCGGGACAGTGTCACGGTTCACTTAGAGTGAGAAAAGAATGAGTAGCCATGTTCAACTTCTCTGTTCATTCCCTAGAAGTTTCATGCCATCCACATTCTTATGACAGCTGAATAGATTGACATTTGTTAAAGAGCTTCCCAGAAGTACTTGGGGAATTTATAGGGGGCGGGGGGCACATTGGATACTAGGAAGAAAGCGTCGTAGAAATCCTACAAAGAGGCATGAACAGCTGATGAGATGGCTTTGTGCAAAACTATGAAAACAGTGGATGTCATTAAGGAGCAATAGCATGCCCCCATCCTCCAGTCTGCCCGAGACTCCGTCTGGCCGTGTCGCAGATGGGAGGTGGGAGATGTTGGGTACAACGGTAGGAATAAAAAGCTGTTACTTTCCACGCCCTCATGGTTGAAGGATACCGTCAACATCAAGCTCACCTATTTTCTGTCGCCTCTGTACGGTTTGTGGTTCAGCATCTTATCCTCGTTCCTGTAGCTCTGCCTCCTGTTTGGAGCTTTGCAAAGTAACTCGTTGGTCCTCAGAAAATCTGAAATCTTACTTTGAAAGCAGCTACTGCGGTTTCATTATGAATATCCACACTGGGGTTGAAGGTAATTGACAGATACTTTATTTGTCTTTTTAAAGTTTATGTGCCTTCCAGAAGTCATTTGGTCTCTGACAAGAAAAAAAATATGTATCTCATTTGTTCAATGTTCATTTTTTTATTAGCAGTGAAATCAAGAGGTTTATCCTTCCATATATTTTCTGTTTATATATCTTATGAAAATCACCTCCTCCCACCCCTAGCCTAACTAAGGTGAGAAAGAAGAAATTAATTTGGAAGTGACAGACTGAGGGGCAGGAAAACTGTCTCCATAAATCCCATCCAGTAGTTAAGGGCAGGCTGAGTGTCCCTTCCCTGAATTGCTTGAGGACAGTGTGTTTTGGATTTTAGGTTTATTTTCTGTTTTAGAAAAACTGTACATACATAATGAAATCTTTCCAATAAAACTCAAGTCTAAACATGGACTTTCTTTTTGTTTCTCACGCAGTTCGTTTCATGCAGTACACATACAGCCTGGGGGTACAGCCTGGGGGTGGTTTTATACAACATTTAAATAATTCTGTATGTGAGAGAGTTTTGTGGTGTGGGATTTTCCACTGCTGATGCTTAAACCAGTCTCATATTTTGGAATATTTTGCATTTTATGTTTCCGGGGATGTTCAACCTGCAATAGCAAATAATTGGACAACATGAACTCTCAGCTTCTGCTGGCTGTACTTAGTGGGTGTTGTGACTGATAAACCTTTCTCCAAACTCTCACTTCCTGTGGAATCAGAGGACGATTTTCTCTTTCTGCTGTCCCTGTCAGTCAGCCTGGCCATTGCTAAAGCCTGCAGGAGCAGCCAGTCTTTGCAGTTCATGCAGATTCCCAACTAGGCGGCAGGTGGCGCTGGTGAGCAACACTGGTGCCCTTAGTAGTGTTTCTCTCCTTGGTGCGCTGCTCTGCTCAGCTTCCAGAGGTTTAAGATAAAGATCTATAGTTCCTCCACCAGTGTGGGCAGCAAGGGAACCGTATTCAGTCTGTGTCTCACACTCAGCAGAAATGTGTCTTGATGAGCTGTGCAAGTGTTTTTCCATGATCACATATGTTCTTTATTGCCTGTCATAATGGAGTAAGTTACCAATGACTCACTTTACCTATCCATCATTTCTCTCAGGGAATGCTCTGGAAAGCAGACCCCTTTCAAAAAAACTGGCAAAGCTTATGGACCCCTTCTTAGGGGGAAAAAACATGCACTAGTTAAATGTAAATTATATTGAAATGCAGTTATTAAATGTTAAACACATCTTGACATAAACACTCTGGTTGCTTTCTACAATGAATACTTCCATCTAACTGATATTTAGTGCCGTAAAGAGGGTCTCCAGTGGTGCTTATTCTGTTAAGACAAAATATAAGTTCTATAGATGGATGTGGTTACTGTGATGTCAGGTCTGTGTGGAGGATAAGCAATATTTATACCTGCAGTGTGGTATAAACAGATCTGTGCTTTCCGGGAGTGATACAGTCAAGGGAACTGTGGCATTTATGCAGTTTGTACCCACATTAGCAACTGAAGGAGTGCTGGACTTACGTTGGAGATGTGATGATAAATGATGTCATTTCCTCTAACCCATATTCTGTTCTTGAATCCTCTCCAAGGGTCCTTTGAGAGTCATGGATATCCGGCTACAGTCCCATGGTCTCTGAGCTAGGGTGGGGACAGGGTTGACTGCAGAGCAACATGGGAGGAAGCCTCTGAGAGTGTGAGACTGTTCCGTTTTAATTATGGTGGTATTTAATTATGTGAGTGCATACATTTGTCAAAAACTTACAGTCTGTACATTTGAAAGGGTAATTTTTGCTATATGTAAATTAAGCATTAATGAAAGAAAGAATGAATGAAAGAAAGAAAGGGAGAGAGGGAGGGAGGGAAGGAGAATGAAAGAAAAGATATGGGTTGAATGTTGCTACCAATGGAAGCAACCCCGGTTCCTACCCCTCCTCTATTAAGGCACCTGTGGAGGGTTCATGCAGCAACAGAGTTAAGCGGGGAGACTTTGAAACAAGTGCTCCTGTGCTCCAACTCTGACCCCAATGCCTGTTTGCTGTGGGACCCAGAAAAGTTCACAGATACCTCCGTGCCATACTTTACTAGAAAAATGCACATACATGGCCATGCCTGTATTTACCTCAAACACTCGTTTGTGGATTAAATGGATTTACATGTTTAAAGTGCTTACACTAATGAAAAAAAAAGTCAGGCATGGAGCAAATATTAGAAAAGTGTGTGATATTTAGAAGTTCTGGGGAAGGAGTTGAGGCTGTGATAAAGAGCACCCAAACAGAGATTGCTTCTGTAATCTCAGAAAGATTTCACCTGGCCAAGAGGAGTTCATTATTAACGAAAAAGGAAAGAAAGGGGTGAGTGTGTGCATCCCAAAGACAAGCCAACTTTCTGTGAATGTTTTGCTAAATGAAACTTTTTCCCCCTTTGGCCGAGCCTCAGTTCTCAGCTGCATCGCCTCCCAGCATCCTTTTCCGTTTCCAAATAACTTCCCCTGGACCACCCCACAGGACACATTTCCAGAAGATATCGCTCATGCATTATGCAGTGTTTGCAAATTAAAATCATACTCGACAGCTAAGCAAAGGTCTCCTATCAAACCCTGGGTGGTCTGTGCGATGAATACTTAGGTTTCATTGATGCTCGATGCCATTAAGATGGTCCTCCATCTGTGTTAACCATTTGGAGCAAGACAAAGTACTCATCGGATCAGTTTCCACCGGGTTCCTGCTGCTGTTAGTGGTGTACTCAGTGTACTCTCCTATTTGGATAACAGTGTACGGAGTCACATAAAGTGAATTCACTTAAATGAAGCTTTATTTGTTTGTTTCAATAGTTTCTGTGCTATAT